GTTGGAATTTTGTTCTACGCGATCGCATGAGACGTTCCGCGATCGCGTAGTGTGTGCACATGAGCAGAATATAAACTTTTCAAAAACGAGGGTTAGCCATTTTTATCAAAACTTGAGTTTGGGAGCTCGTATTTGGGCGAGATTTTGAGGGAATTTTAGAGACATCAATTGGGTAATGATTCTACACTTGATTTGGGTTATATCCCACTAATCTATCATTAATTTCATCATTTAAATTCGGATTTGGGTTGAAAATTGGGAAAAACGGGAAGAAGTTCTTCAATTAAGATTTTGGGTTTGATTGAGATTTTGACAGCGATTTGGATAATTTTATTAAGAGTGAACTCGTGAGTGAATGAGTGTTCATATTTTATGACTTTTATCCAATTCCGAGACGTGGGCCCGGGGAGGCTTTTTGGGCGATTTCCAATTTCTTTCTTTATCTTTGATTTCATTAGCTAGATTAGTTTCTTGTAGTTATATTTATGATATGTAATTGATTTTGGATAGGTTCGGGTCATTCGGAGCTGGATATTCGAGGGAAAAGCATTGTTACGGATTGATTTGAGCTTGGTTCAAGGTAATTGGCTTGCCTAACCTTGTGTGGGGAAACTCCCCTTAGGATTTGATAATATTTTTGATATGTGAGCACCGTGTACGTGAGGGGATGAGTACGTACACGGGCTAGTTGTTGAAAAACCCGGTTTCTGCTAAGTAATAACCTGTTTTTCTTCTTATTTGAGTTATATCATCATGTGTTGTATCCCTGTTAACTTAGAATAGCATGTCTACTTGTCTTAATTGTTTATCTGAACTCCGTGCAACATGTTTAGTGAATTCCCTGCTTTTCCTTGATTTGAGCTTAGTCTAAACTGTAAGTTTTCTTGCTGTAGCTATTATTCCCGTTGTTTGAGCTGTATATTTACTTTGGGACTACGGAACGGTATTACGGGAGATCCCCCTGCATATTTACTTTGGGACTACAGAACGGTATTCTGGGAGATTCCCCTGTCTTGCATATTTACTTTGAGACTACGGAACGGTATTCCGGAAGATCCCCCTGTACATTTACGTTTGGGACTACGAGACGGTATCTCGGGAGATCCCCTGTTGTTATTACTGTGTAATGCGCTGTTACCTTTCTATGATTTCATTCTTGTTATATTTCAGTCTTTATTTTTACTGCGATATTATTGTTCCGTCTTATATTCTTATATATATATACCAGTAGGGCCCTGACCTGACTTCATCACTGCTTGATTGGGGTTAGGCTTGGCACTTACTAGGTATCGTTGTGGTGTACTCACGCCTCTCTTGCACATGTTTATCGTGTGCAGATCCAGGTACCTCCTACCAGCCTCGAGTTTAGTTGCGCGGTTGCTTCTTTCAGGAGACTTCGAGGTACATCTGCCCGCGTTCGCTGACCTCGGAGTCCTCCTCTATCACCTTATGTTAATTCTTTCCTTATTTCTATAGACACTGATGTACAGAGCAATTAGAAATTCGTAGAAGCTTGTGACTTACGGTGTTCCGGGTCTTGGGAGTGTTATGTATATTTCGAGAGTTGATTATTGTATATGCCGAGCGACATCTCTTTTGCTTATTTAAAATATCTGCTAATGTTAGTTGTTGATTTCATGTTCTTCATTTCATTTTCGCAAAGTGTTAGGCTTACCTAGTCATAGGGACTAAGTGCTGTCACGACAATTCAAGGAGGATGAATTTGGGTCGTGACAGTTTAGTATATATGGCTGGAAATTTTGTTTTACTATAGAATTTCAAGAAGAAAGAATGATATAGTTCTGCTCTTGAATCTATGCTAGAAAATTTCAAGAAATATTTCCATCATATTTCCCTTATTTACCTAACTGGCATTATTTTAAACCTTTCTATCAAGATGGCTACTTGTCGCCAATTAATCAATGCTTTATATACTTATATAGATATTGGAAAAATTGAAACCCCTGATGTTAAAACTTGCATTTCTGATCTAAACAAAAATTTGCAAGCTTTATATAATTATTATGCTAACATAGTTTATGCTTTTTCTGCTGTAGATGCAAATACAAATGTTCCTTCAAGTTCGGCTTTTACGTCCGCATTCGCATCTGGTCCTATGGAGGAAGATAACTGTGTTGTAGTTTATGCTATTTGGTCTATACTAAGTGAGCATCAATAATCCATTAATATGAACATTGATGAACTATAATTCTACCTGCAAAAAGCAGCGGAGCCCCACACAAATAAATTTCTACCATGGCTTGGTGGAAGAGCAACTCAAAATAATTTCTTCTTCTCGATTGCTCGAGACGTGCTAAAATACCGATTTTAACATTTGCATCAGGGACCGCATTTTGGCCAAGCAAGACAGCAGCTAGGAGCTACCCGTCACTCATTGGTTAGCAACTCTTTGAAAGTTCTAGTGTACTTCAGAGATTGAATAAGACCAGAACAACGAAGTTAAGGACATGATGAACCCAAAGACCAAGAAATTGGAGATATAATGGCTTTCCGATTCAAACAGTGTGGGAAACAAAGAAACTCATGTTGACATGGAAGATCTTACAAAAATGATGTAAAATATGTGATGTACACTTTTTTATTTTTTATAATTATTGTAAAATTTTAATTTGCAAGCTCAAAAATAAAAAATACAATATAGAACTTGCAAATTTAATTTGAAGTATTATTCAATGAAAGTTTTTGAGGTTTTATCCTTAAATATTGGTCTTATTAGCACTTAATTTTAAATTTAAGACTTTAAACGTTTAAATTTATGTCTTAAAGTACTTATTTATAATTTAGAAGTTTATAAACACTCAAGTATTAATTACATTAAACTTGAAATATAAAAGAAATTTTTACATTCCTATATCATGTAAGAAACCTTATTACCCTCAGTGTTTAAGGTTTGATATAATTACATTTAGTATACCAAATTACCAATTCTATACCATAGTGTATTTTAAGGGTACAATTAATGCAGCGTATATCCCTCCTTAATTCAAGGTATCGTATATCCCACCCTCCCACGTTTCTCTCTCCCAAACCCTCACCCTCACCCACGTTTATGTACTGTTATTAAACATAAAAACCTATGATTATGGAAACATAGATTTGCAGCATTAGGTTTATGTAGTCATCGGTTCAGCTCCAAGTCCAACACTTCGTTTTTCCCAGGTCGTTAAAGTCATCTTCGCAAACACCAGTGTGGTTACCATCCTGGACTAGAAATCTTTAGATCTAATAGTCTAATACTATCACAAACATAAAAATCCAGAAGTAACAAAATAATCTCTATTAGACAATAGATTCTACATGTATAAATGGGAAAGAGGGAAAGAAAATGCATTTACGGAATAATGGTAAATAGTAGGGACTGTCTAAAAAACCTCAAAGAACCATTTACGAATTAGGATTATACTTGATATATATCATGATATTAAAGTATGCGATCACATAGGAAAAGATTCAATCAAATATGAAGTCTTCCAAGTTTGACTACTCCTCAACAGCCAACAATCCAATTCAATTGTAGCTTAATTGGTATTTTCGACATAATTGCGTTTTTTGCAGAAGAATTTGTAGAAGTTTTAGTCGTTTTGGATTTGTGAAAACAGAAAATAATGCATCTACAATCAGAATACAAATAATCTACAATTCATCTACAAACTGGGTATATTGAATTTTAATATCCCAATTCCCATTTGATTGTAGTTTAATTGGGATTTTCGATATAATTGCGTTTTTTGCAGAAGATTTGTAGAAATTTTAGTCGTTTTTGATTTGTGAAAACATAAAACAAAGCATCTACAATTAGAATACAAATAATCTACAATTTATCTACAAAATATCTACAAAATGGGTACATTGAATTTTTATATCCCAATTCCCATTCAATTGTAGCATAATCGGGATTTTTGACATAATTGTGTTTTTTCAGAAGATTTGTAGAAGTTTTAGCCGTTTTTTATTTGTGAAAACAGAAAATAAAGCATCTACAATCAGAATACAAATAATCAACAGTTTATCTACAATTTCTGCAATTTGTCTTCTTCTTCTTCTTCTTCTTCTTCTTCTTCTTCTTCTTCTTCGAGTTTCAATCTGAAATTCAGTCAAAACCAAGTCTAATCTTCACCAAAACCCCTCGTAATTGAGATATAAACTCCAAACCATATTCCCGATTATTTTCAACAACACTCAATCCAAACAAATAATGATTTTTGAAAACCCAAATTTGAATTCAAAGCTTTCAAGCTTTTTAATGGCTGTCAATGGTGGAATTGCTGCTCTCTTTTCATTTGCTTTGTATTACTGAAATTTGCGATTGAGAAATAGAGAGAGATGTAGAGAGAATGTCGACGAACTGAGCTTTTGCAGAACTGATTTCTACAATTTGATTCGAATTTGTTGACGATTTTGTCTTTTTCTGCTTTGTGACTTAAGGAAAAATATCGAAAAACAGAGTTTTTGCAGAAAAGAGTCTATGTAATTTGATTTTAAATTGAAGATATAGGATTTGCGTTTCAAATTTGATCTGAAGGTCGCTAAATCAATTAGAATATTCTGTTCCTGATTTGTAGCGCGCCTAATTAGGAAGATTCAGCTACTAATAATTAGTATTTAATGAATGGTATATTAATTGTAGAAAAACTGTGAACATAGCGGGTAAATTAAAAACTATGCACATATTTGATAATAAAGTTTCATATATGGTATAGGAAGGAAAAAATTTCAATATAAAACAAAATAAACAGAAAATTAAAAAAAATAAAGCCCGGCCCCGTTCGAATCCCGAACACAAACGGGCCCAATGGAACCTGAAAATCTCAGCCCACTACCAGTCCGGTATCCCAGCCCACTTACCAGCCCGCTACGATAACAGAACGCGCTGGTTTCCACCACCAACCCGATCCGTTCGGTAGCAACCTTTGGTATATACTGTCCCACTAAAACTTAAATAACAAAATTATTGGAAAAAGGAAAACAAAGGCGGTTAATATTTGACGAGAGAAGCAAAAAAGCCCGAGTCATGCGGAAAAGCATATAAACAAAAAATCACCTCTCTCTTCTAAAAATAGAAATTCCCCAAATTCAGCCAAACCCTAACCCTAAGAACCAATCTTTCTTCTAAACGAATCTTCTCTCATAAATTCTCTCATTCCTCTCCATCCTTTTCCCTTTCTGGAGATCTGACCTCTTCTGCTAAAAGTTATCAATTCATTTCGGTAGATCGGTTTTTTCTTCTTTAGTTTCTTGAATTCCTATTGTTAATGGTGGAAATTTTCAAGAACTTGTTAATGAGCACCCCTTTATCTTCTATAAGGGGAATCTCCGTATCTTCTTTCTTTTCCTTCGGTTCTTGCAGAGAAGGTTGGTATTATCGTAGCGTCGGCCTCGACCCTTGATCATCTTGGCCCGAATCTTATAGGCCTACGTCCAGGACAGTGACTATTTTCCAAAGGCAATTCAGTCGGCGCTATTTCTACTAGAAACTGTCTCTCGGTTCGTAGGCCAGTAAACACATTTATTTATAAATCCAAAAAATATTCTCTCTAAATTTAGTTGGAAAGATCTTTTTTTGTTTTTGTTTATTGGATCACATTTGAGATCAATTGATAAGATGTTGCTTTATAAGACAAAGAAGATTCAACAGGGGAAAGGAAACCGGTTGTTGATCAGCATAACGGTTCTTGGGAGTGCGGGGCCGATTCGTTTTGTTGTGAAAGAAGAGGATCTTGTGGCTGATGTTATTAATACTGCATTGAAAAATTATGCTCGGGAGGGAAGGCTTCCTGTTCTTGGGTCAGATTTGAACAATTTTGTGCTATATTGCCCGGCTGTCACAACAGAAGGTATTGTCTTGTTAATTTTTGTGATTATGTATGCGCAATTTAACATTGGTTATATTTTCCCCCACTAAATTCCTGTGTTATATTTTCCATTGAATTTCTGATTTATATGTGGAAGTTTCATCTGTGGTTTAGCTTTGGTTGCATGTTTTAGCTGCTGATTTCATAAGGTAGATGTCTTTAAGGGTTTTCCCCTCACTAATTCCTTATTTAGGTAATCAATTGCAGTTTGGGAAATTTGTTTCAGTTGGCCTTTGCAGAAATTATTTGGTGGTTATATCATTGCTCAAGTTAACAAGCCCGACGCAGGGTAGAGCAGGGCAAGTGAAGCCTTATCTGTCAGAATGTTTCTCTGCCCCGCTTAACTTTTTCCTCCAATTTTCACCGATCAACCCTCGCCCTTTATTAGTGTTGGGCGTTCTGCACACGGTACAGTATTTAAGAACTTTGGTTCGGTACTTCGTGTTCGGTATATCAATTGTGCATACCAAATACCGTACCAAAGTAGTTCGTTACGGTTTGGTAAGATAGCTGTTAGTTTTCTTTATTTACGACTGGAGTTCTAACAATAGTCCATCCATATAATTCAAATCCATGAGATAGTCAGATTGGTTTGTCAACAACTGATTTGAAGGAATAACGCTTTCATTCATTGCACTCAATCTGTCTTCAAATGTCTAAGATTAGTACTGTACTTGATCCAAATTTATGTTAATCACTAATCACTCCTTCTAGCCTCTAAAAGCTCCAGCCTTGAAAAATCATATCTGCCAAAATTTATGTTCTAACTGAGAATCTGCAGTAAGCAAAGGACAGATGAACCAGAGAATCTAAAACAACAATAAAAAGAGGAACTTTTCAAATATTATTTAGTTCCAGAATTAAATATATGAAGATATCAACATATTCCACCAAGTTGGATTGTGTAATATTGGCAAACATATTTGATTGCAAGTCAAAAGTAAAAGATTGGACTTGGGTCGTTGGGTTGGGCTGACTGGCTTTAAGGATTGGACAGTTGGACTTGGGTTGGGCTTACTGAAATATTTCTGTATTTTGGTATTTTGATTTATTGAAGTATCGAAAGTTTAATACTGAGAACCGTACCGAAGTGCCGAACTTATAAAATCTTTATACTGAATTAGTACCAAAGAACCGATAACGAAATACCGAATTAATTCGGTCCGGTCCGTTTTTTCGGTTCTTCGAATTTTATGCCCACCCGTACACATTATGTGTCCTGCCCTGACCAGTTAGGTTTAATTATTTTCTTCATTTCCATGTTAGTTATTTCTTTAGTGGTCGTTTGGCTGGAAAGTTGTTATCCCGGGATTAGTTATTCCGGGATTAGTTATTCCACCTTTCCATGGGGATAAAAAAAAACTACAATCCCGGGATTAATTATACCACAATTTTCTGCCAACCAAAGATGGGATAAGCTCTTCTTAAGTTTAGTCCCGGGATTAATTATTCCTTGTCCCTCGTACCAAACGAGCCCTTAATATTTATTGTTTACTTTTTCATCATTTTCAAATCTGTTTCAGCTGGCTTAACTTATTCTTTTTGTAATCTCATCGATCAACAATATTTTTTATTTACATGTTTAATTTATAAGCTAAATGAAAGAAGTAAAATCTCAATATATTTGAAGTTTAATATGAAGACTTGAGAATGTTGAAAGGAATAAACAAGGATATTGGAAGCTAAAAGTAAAAAGTTGCAAAAACCCCTTGCTCCTGCCTCACGCAGCTCTACTTGCAAAACGGAAAATTTCCCTGCCTGCCTTTAAGGCTTCAGCCTGCCCCTACCGGTCCAGCCTCGTTGCCATCTCTAAATTTATCAGCATTGGTTTCTCCCCTGTATCTTTCTGCCAAATATCTACCTTTGTATTGGTGCCTGTTGTCTAAGATGCTCATCATATGTTACTGTTTTGTATTGGTGAACTTGAGGCTGTTACTGCTTTTTCGTATTATATGTTAGAAAGATTTTGGTAGGCTTTACACCTTTTCAATTTATGATGTCTTTTTTGCTTATATTTGTATTATCATTGCAGTCCTGAGTCCATGGGAGACAATTGGATCCGTTGGGGTTCGTAACTTTGTGCTATTCAAGAAGCCGCAGGCTGAGAATGCAATTCTTGATGGGAAACAAGCAGCAATGGATCGGAAGAGAGCTGCAAGTTGGAAGGCATGGTTCAACAAGTCACTCACTCGCAAGATAGTTTCTTACTGAACACACAAAGTAGTCTATGTTCTTGTTGGTATTTTGTTCGATTCCTTTTTTTTAATGTCGCTATATTTTCGTACTGTGAACTTACAGTTCCCTGTGACCTAACAATGTGAAATCTTGTTGGTGTTTTCCTAATGACAAATTAAGCCTTTATCAGCTACTGAGATCGTATTATGTTGATTTAGTCGTTTGAACTAAGCAAATCATGACAGAGTTCCAACTGATTTACTGTCAAGTCTTCTTATTATATTCAGCTCATAATAGATATTGATTGATTTCTGCTGTGTCAGTGGAAGTTGCTAACAATTTGAGGAGCTTATGCTTCTCCTTCTCTTGCTTCCTGGGAAGGTTCCTTCCCCATTATGTTTACTTGGACTTGTAGCAAAGTCAAAATCAAGCAAGCATTTTCCTGTCTTTAGACTTTCAAGAGATTGCATTCTTTTAGATTAAGTGAAACCAAAGCAAAATCTTTTTGTCATTAGATGAAAACTCTACAGTTTTTAATGAAGAATATTTTCTGCGAGATTATTTGTAGATATAAGGTGTCCTAACTTTTTTTTTTTTTTTGGCAAATCCTATTGGTTTTGTTGTCACCACACGCACAGAAGTAGTTTTCGGTTGACTCTGGCTTTGGGACCAAAAAAAGTGTATAGCAGCTCTTATGGTGTTTCCCACGTAAGAATCGTGTAGACTGATGAGGGTGGTTCAAAGAGAAGGATTGAAGGCTTTTAGACAAATCCCACATTAGAAAGGGAGAGAAGAATGTAGTGCTATATAAAATAGATCATAAGTTCACTGGATGTGCGTGCTTTTGGGCTTAATGATGGTTAACTCAAGGGGCAAATTCGTAAGGTGTGTGCGGCCAAAGCAGACAATGCGTTACCATAAACTTGGGTTGTGATAACGGAGCTAGCGCAGTAGTGGGGCAAATCTCAGCCAAAGACGTTGAATCCCTAGAAGTGTATGTGTGACGCCCATGACGGAGGACAAGTTTGATGAGGGCGATAAAAGAGAAGGATTGCAACCTTCGAGGGTGACAAGCTTCCAAAAAAGGGGGTGCATATGACAAGCTTCCAAAAAGGTGCACATGTTTTTAATTAGGCGCGATGATTGCGTAGCCCAAGGGACAAATCTGTGAGGTCTGTAGGGCCAAAGTGGATAATACATGCCATGAAACTTGGGTTGTGACGAGCTAAATCATCACGATAGAGTAGTTGGAAGTCTGGAGACTCGTTCGAAGACACTTATCTTTTCATTGATTTATTAAGGATGTTTATGCTAAAAGCGATGAAGCACTATAGTCAGATTGACTACTGCACTTTCGGTTAAACCACAAAGAGGGTATTTGGATTGGCTTTTAAGTTGTGCAAATCAGCTTTTGAGCTCTTTTTAGTTTTTTCAGTGTTTGGAAAAGTCAGAAAAGTGCTTGAAATAAGTTAAAAACTGCTTAAAACAAGCCAAAAGCAATAAGCTCGACAACCCCAACTTATTGCTTTTTGGCTTAAAAGCTATTTCTGCTGAAAAACCACTTTTTTTAAGCCAATCCAAACGGGCTCAAAATCTTACAGGTTGTGGAGTATTTACATTATCTGGCTGGTTATCTACTTCTTTGAATTGCTACAAATTTAAAGAAAATGAGGTTTCTTTAGATTGCCAACTAAAAGACCATGTAGCAATACCAACATAAAATAAGTAATACATGGAAAGTTTGCGTTAAATTAGAATAGGAGGTTATTGTTGTGAAGATGAACTAACAGGCAATTTTTCCTACCAACCACAACCAAAGCTCAATTTTTCTTCACAACCCATATAGCTATATAAACATAAATCAATCAAAGCATAACATACTAGCTAGTCTTCAAGCATTTATCACCTTCAACAATGGCTTATCACCACAACTCATCTTTTTTCTTGGTATTACTTGCCACCTTGTCATTAACAAGCAGCTACATAATTCAAGCGGAAGCACGCCATCTTCTCAAAGTAACTATGCCCGAGCTTCCTAAGCCTGAATTGCCACATTTGCCTGAAATCCCAGCTTTCCCTAAGCCCCAATTCCCTGAAATTCCAAAACCCGAGCTGCCAACTCTGCCAAAACCACAATTGCCAGAAATCCCAAAGCCGGAGCTTCCAACAATGCCAAAGCCAGAACTACCAACGTTGCCAAAACTCGAGATCCCTGCCATTCCTAAGCCTGAGCTACCAACTTTGCCAAAGCTAGAAATCCCTCAAGTGCCTCATAACCCTTGATTTTGAGGCGAATGACGTCCTCTTTGCTTCACTGAAGCAGTGTTATTCTTGAATGTTACACTTCTGTTGCAGCTTCCCTTTGGAACAATTAATTATGTGATTTTTCTGTCATCAGTTTCAGCTTCCTCTAGGAAGAAATATTTGTGTGATTGTTGTGTTATTAGTTCACTACTGTATTTGTTTCCGGTGGCATTACGCCTACAGTATTTGAGATTTTACCTATGGTGATTTTATTTTGTTTTGTCTTAATTTCATACTTTTCCACTCTTTCTCTTTGGTGATGAATAGATTTAAATTTGTAGTTAACATAATCTCCTAAGACTGGTGAATGCGATACAGAGGCCGACCTACGCTATACCGAGAGGGGTCACCGGCAACCATAAGTTCCGCCAAAATTTCATATATACATGTATATAGCTTTAGAAAATAGTGATATATTAGTAGTGGCACCATATATACAAAATAGATTTTGATCGAATCCAAAAGCGCGCCCGTGACCATCAAATCCTGAGTCCGGCTCTGAATTCCGATACATTCCATGAGCTGATGCATCCCAAACTCAACACAGAAAATTTTATTATCATTTCTTAGGTTAGGTGAAGCAATGAACTTACAAGCAATCCATTACGTTGTGGAGATTTGAACTAATGGAATATTATCAATTTCATCCTCGACTTGGTTACATAAATGGAATTGAATTCAAGTTAAATAGTAGTGTCTCACTGTCCTTCAAGAATACAAGATAAGATTTCAAGGATCTTGTCATATTATCTTGCCATTCTTGCAAGGTCTTATTGTTTGCAAAAGATTTGATTATCTCAAAATCAACATTTTCTTTAAATATTTTCTATCGGAAGGGAGCCTTGGAGTAATGGTAAAGTTGTCTCCGTGTGACCTATAAGTCATGGGTTCGAGCCGTGGAAGCAGTCACTAATGCTTGCATTATGTTAGACAGACTGTCTACATCATACCCCTTGGGCGCGGCCCTTCCCCGGACCCTGTGTGAACCCGGGATACCTTGTGCTCCAAGCTGCCTTTAAATATTTTCCATTATAGAGGAGGACTGTGGAATGGGAAGGGGAATAGGAAGGGGGAACAGAGTAACGGGAATCGAATCCACACCTATCATGTGTGAGGTTTTCACTGATATCGCTAGACTATTAAGCCTTTGTCCTAAATCTCAATATGACATTCATTTTGGGGAGAAAGCTGTGAGTGCATCAATACACGCATATACACATAGAATGTCAGGAATTGATGTGTAAATTCTGAAGCATAGTGTAGACTGTAGAAAATAAACAAAAGCTAGATTTTCGTTCAGTGTCAGTAATCGTCAACTAATTGCTTGTTGATTCTAATCCTGGAGTTTAAAGAGGATCTTGTTACATAACCAACAACACTTTAACAATAAAAAAAGATCTAGGATTTAAACTTAATGGATTCACACACTCTTTGTGTTGAAAGTTCTGCGTTCACGCATACTCTATATTGAAAGTTCTGCGTCAGATGAACCCATAGCCAAAAGGCCACATTCGCCTCTGTCAACAATAGGCTGCCTGCGGTTCTTAACCTCGAGTTTTAGGAATTGCCTGCATTATCCACTGTCCTGGGGCATGTATATGGAGGTTTCATAAAAAATAGCTCAATGACTAGTATAGAAAACCACTAAGCATGTACAGAGAGGCAAATGGATTTGTATCTTCTTCTTTTTTAGTTGAGAATCTGGAAGTAGAGTAAAAAGGAACTTCTGTTTGAAATGTAAACAAGCATTAATTTAGCAATGGAGTTGCTCATTTTTATTTAACTAGATTACACATACAATCACTTATACAATATTATATGTATTAAACTAGGATTGAAACTATTACTCATTGGATTACCTACTGGAAGACCTTTGTTATGTTATGGCCTTAGCTTGTTAGAAGATCAACATAAAATATGTAATAGTAGATGTATGGGTCAGAATCCGACCCCACGATAATTAACGAAGCTAATCCCGTCTCAAGCTAATTTGTGATTAATTAGTGGTACGACCACTCAAAATTAACGATATTCAACCCTTATCTGATAGATCAATAAGGCCACGACCCGTCCGTCATCATGAAGGCGAAACCTCAACGTGGTCACGGCCACTTACTGCCAGCTCACGAAGCTCACAACTATAAATACCAAGAGAGGAAACTCAAGAAGGGGGGGGGGGGGGGGGCTTCTTCGAAAACTATTGAGAGGAGAGAGAAAAATGGAGAACAATGCACATATATGGAATACCATTGTAAGGCTCTGAACCTCTTCATGGAGAGGCAGACCAAAGCACTATTATGAATAAAAGCTTTTATATTTCTCTTCCCAAAGTTGAGCATTTATTTTCGTTTCCTTCATTTGGTCCAATGGATTATTACGGTTTGCTATGATTTTCCCGTGATTTATTTATATTGTTTTATACTCATAAGGTATGTGATAACTTTTGAGCAAACAGTGTTATGCATGGGGAGTTTGCTTTAAATAAAATTAAGATGTTATTGTTGAGAAGATGACCTAACAGGCAATTTTTCCTACCAACCTCCTTCCTATTTTTCACGTCCCATGTCTATATAAACTTGTTCAAAGTGAAGCCTAAGCATAAAGCATACTAATGTTCAAGCATTTATCACCTTCAACAATGGCTTATCACCACAACTTATATTTTATCTTGTTATTAGTTGTCACTTTGTCATTAACAAGCAGCTACATATTTCAAGCAGAAGCGCGCCATCTTCTTGAAGTAACTCTGCCTGAGCTACCTAAGCCTGAATTGCCACATTTGCCGGAAATCCCAACTTTGCCTAAGCCTGTATTCCCAGAAATTCCAAAACCCGAGCTTCCAACTCTGCCAAAGCTTGAATTGCCTGAATTCCCAAAGCCAGAGCTGCCAACAATGCAAAAGCCTGAACTGCCAATGTTGCCAAAACTCGAGATAACATCCATTCCTAAGCCTGAGCTACCAACTTTGCCAAAGCTAGAAATCCCTCAAGTGCCTCATAACCCTTGATTTTAAGGCGAATGACATCCTCTTTGCCTCATTGAAGCAGCATTGTTATATGTTACGCTTCCCTTGTATCGTGTGATCATGTTCTTTTCCTCCTTTTTTGTTGTAATTTTGTTGATACTATAGCCATTTGCAGCTTTCCTTTTGGAAGGATTCTTCATGTGATATTCCTTCATCAGTTGTAGCTTCTATTGGAAGAAGTATTTATGTAATTGTTCTATCATCAGTTCACTACTGTATTTGTGTTTTCAATGGCATTACCATATACAAATATTTTCATATAAAGAAACTTACTACCGTTCTAGAATGCCTTTCATCAGCAAAATTTAAATCTATGCCAAAAGTTAGTCGTTGCTTCCAACTTATAGCAAACCAGTCTTGGTTTTTGATTGATGTTTCCTATTTAAGACTGCTCACGAACATAATATTGTGCGTTAAATGGAACTAACATAATTCCTCTTAAGTATATGAAGTTGAAGTTCAAGATTATTCTGTGATATTAATTACTCTTAGCTGAGGTGAGAGTCTTCTACTTTCTGGGACACTGCATGAAATGTCAGACTATAACCGTAATTTAGCTTCATAGGAATTCAAGATTGAAGTAACAATTGTGAAGCAGAGTGACAAAAGAATAAAATCATCAGCAGATAACAGTAAAATCAGGCAGTTTGATTTATGCAGAAGTAGAAATAAGCATAGGATTTTCAGCATAAGAAAAGCAAGACTTTGTAACATATCTACCTCCATCTGAAAAGAGAGACATGGGGAAAAAAAGAAAGATAAAGAATATCAGGAATGGTAATAACAAATCTATGGGTGTGTTTCGTATGAAAGAAAATATTTTCCAGTTTTCCCATGTTTTTGGTTGGTTTAAATATATTGAAAAATATTTTTCTTATGAGCTCATTTTCCTCCAATTGACTTCCTTGCCAAGAGAAGAGAAAATATTTTTCGAAACTCCCTTTCAACCTTCCCCACCCCCTAGTCCACACCCTCGCCACTCCGGACCCCATATCCCGATCTACCACCTTGCACACTGACCTCTCTCTGACCCACCCCATCACGGCATCCTCCGCCCATCCTCCAACCCCCACCCCGGCAAATCTCCACTTCCCAAACCAACCCCCACTCCGGCTCACCACCTACTCCTCCCTCGGCCCTTTCCTACTCGCTCCCCCCCCCCGCCCATCCACCCACCCCTTTGATCTTCCATAGTTGCCTAGATTATATATTTTTCAAAAGATATTTTTTTCTAACTAACCAGACGCTAGAAAATAAGTATGAAAACTAATATTCCGTGGAAAAGATTTTCTTTCATACACACACCCTATATTTTTTACATCTTCAGTGTCAGAAATCGTCAAGTAATTGCATGTTGCTTCTAATCTTGGAGTTTAAAGAGGACTTTGCTACATAATAACAATATTTAATGGAGCAAAAAGGTTTTTACTTGATGTAAATAAGCATTTATTTTAATGGATCTGCCCATGTTTCTTTAACTAGATTAAACGTACAGTCACCTATATACACAACATGGATTAATAAGCAAAACCATTTACTTGCCATGTTGAAGCGTAACAAAGTTAAAGAAAGGTAAGTTCTCATTAGATTACCTACTAGAAGATATTTGTTATGTTATGACCTTGTAATAGATGATATGCATGGAGACTTTGCTTTAAATTAAATTAGGATGTTATTGTTGAGAAGATGACCTAACAGACAATTTTTCCTATCTATCACAACCAAAGTAACTTATTCTTTCTATTTTTCACATAGCATGTCTATATAAGCTTGTTCAAAGTAAAGCCTAAAGCATAATCAAGCAAAGCATAAAATACTAGTCTTCAGGCATTCATCACCTATAACAATGGCGTATCACCAGGACCAATCTTTTTTCTTGTTATTACTTGTCACTTTATCGTTAACATGCAGCTATGCAATTCAAGCAGAAGCGCGCCATCTTCTTGAAGTAACTCTGCCTGAGCTTCCTAAGCCTGAATTGCCACATCTGCCGGAAATCCCAACTTTGCCTAAGCCTGAATTCCCTGAAATTCCAAAACCTGAGTTACCAACACTGCCAAAGCCACAATTTCCTGAAATCTCAAAGCCGGAGTTGCCAGCATTTCCAAAGCCTGAGCTGCCAACGTTGCCAAAACTCGAGGTTCCTGCCATTCCTAAGCTTGAATTTCCAACTTTGCCAAAGCCAGAAATCCTTCAGGTGCCTAAAAAGCCTTGAGTTTGATGCCCAATGACATCCTCTTTTCCTCATGGAAGCAGCATTATATTGTTGAATGTTACACTTCCCTTGTGTCATGTGATCATGTTTTTCTTTTGGTTAATTTTGTTGTACTAGAGATATTTGAAGTTTTCCTTTTGGAATGATTACTTATGTGATTTCTGTCATCAGTTGCAGCTTCTGTTGGAAGAAATATTTATGTGATTGTTCTATCATCAGTACTTCACTACTGTATTTGTGTTTCTAATGGCATTCATATACAATTATTTAATATTGATGGGAAGCCTTGGAGCAACGGTAAAGTTGTCTCTGTGTGACCTATAAGTCACGGGTTCGAGCCGTGGAAGCAGCCACTAATGCTTGCATTAGGTTAGACGGTCTACATCACACCCTTGGGTGCAGCCCTTACTCGGAACCTGCGTGAACACGGGATACCTTGTGCACCGGGCTTCCCTTTATACAATTATTTAATATAATATAAAGAAACTTACAATGCTTATAGAATGACTATAATAGCAATTCCTAGAGTTCTAGAAAACTCAATATTTGACAAATAACTTTTATCATGCAACAATCATCAGAACATGCTAGGCAAAATAATCTTAGTTTTTGATTCATGTTTCCTATTCAAGACTGCTCAGAAAATTTTGCATAATTCCTCTAGGCATGAAGCTGAAGCTTAGTTTAAATTCCAAAGGATAAATACATTGTGTTCATATCCAGTTAAAGACTATCCTGGAAAATAGCTCTTAGCTGAGCTGAGACTCTTATTACTTTTTCTTACATCTCGAGACACTGCAAAAAATTGTCAGACTATAAGCCTAATTTATCTCTGGTGAAATTTACGATTGAAGTAACAATCGTGACACAGAGGAACACAAGACTAAAATTAGGAGCAGATAACAGTAAAACCGAGCAGTTTGATATAAGTAGAAGGAAGCATAGAATTTTCAGCATAAGAAAAGCAAGACTAAGTAGTTAAATATCTACCTCCATCTGAAAGGAGAGACATGAAGCAAAAAGAATATCAGGAATGGACTATAATCTGAAGCAAGGTTTAGAAAATAAACGAAAGCTGTATTTCGTCTTCAGTGTCAGAAATTGTCAAATAATTCAATGTTACTTCTAATCCCGGACTTTAGTGAGGATCTTGTGACATAACTAACAGTACTTAAACAATAGACTGACCGCAATTCTTGGCCCCGAGTTTTAGCAATTGCCAATGTTACCGGTGTCCAGGGGCATATGTACGGTGGTCCTGTAAAAATGGTTCAATGGCTAGTCTAGAAAACCGCTAAGCATGTATATAGAGGCTAATGGATTTGTATCTTTTTTCTTTACTTCTTCAGTATCCGGTAGGAGAGTAAACAGGATTTTACTTGATGTGGATACACATTAATTTAGTAATGGAGTTGCTCATGTTTCTACAACTAGATTAAACATATAATTACATATACAATATTATGGATTAAACAAGGAGTTGAAACCAATAACTTGCCATCTTTAAGTGTTAAAAACTTTAAAGAAAGGTGAGTTCTTATTGGATTACCTACTAGAAGACCTTTTTGTTATGTTTTGAGAAGATCAACATAAAATATGTAATAAATATTATGCATGGATGAGTTTGCTTGATATTAAATTATGATTTATTGTTGAGAAGATGAACTCACCGACATCTTTTCCTACCAACCACAACCAAAGCTCAATTTTCCTTCCTATTTTCCACATGCCATGTCTATATAAACTTGTTCAAAGTATAGCCTAAGGCATAATCAGTGAGTATAAAATACAAATCTTCAAGAATTTATCGCACCTTAAACAATGGCTTATCACAACAACCCATCCTTTTCCTTGTTATTACTTGTCACTTTGTCATTAACAAGCAGCTATGCAATTCAAGCAGAAACGCGCCATCTTCTTGAAGTAACTATGCCTGAGCTTCCTAAGCCCGAATTACCACATCTGCCAGAAATCCCAACTTTGCCAAAGCCTGAATTGCCACATCTACCAGAAATCCCAACATTGCCAAAGCCTGAATTGCCAAAAATCCCAAAGCTGGAGTTTCCAACATTGCCAAAGCCTGAATTTCCAACGATGCCAAAACTCGAGGTCCCTGCCATTCCTAAGCCTGAATTGCCAACTTTGTCAAAGCCAGAAATTCCTCAAGTGCCTCAGAAACCTTAAGGCCGAGGCGCATGAAATTCTCTTTGCCTCACTGAGGTAGCATTGTTGAAATGTTACACTTCATTGTGCCGTATGATCATTGTGTTTTTCTTTGTTGTTCTAGAATCATTTGAAGATTTCCTTTTGGAAGGATTATTTATGTGATATTCTGTCCTCAGTTGCACCTTCCTGTTGGAAGACCTGTTTATGTGATTGTTCTGTCATCAGTTAACTAATGTATTTATCTCGTGGCCTTATATACACATCGTTTTAACTTAATTTTCCTACTTTTATCCCGTCTTCCTTTTGGCGATAACTAGAGTTAACTTTGCAGCTCACATGCATTGTAATCTGATATGAATGGTGAATGTGATATTTCATGAGCTGACGCTCCAATATGCATCATAAGACATCAAATTTAAATCGAATTACAATACTCTGCACATAAATGGGAGTTAAATAATACTCCATTTACTGTCCTCTCAAGTAGAATATAACATACAAGTATTGAGATCAAGGATTCTGGTCACTTCAGCTTTACCATTATGGCAAGGTCTTATAATTACAATAAATTGCAATTAAAAGGAAATTTGAACATCTAAAACTCAATATAACTTATTCTTTTCGAAGAGTAAGCAATGATTTATCTATTAACATACATTTATACACTCAGACATGCTACGTAGAAATAATTGAAACTGATTGCCAGTTAAAAATAATTTATAGACAGTGATCCGAAGAGCTAACACTAGACTATATAGCTTGAACCCTAGCATGACAGAGGGAGCTAGGATTTGAAGCTTATGGGTTCGAGATTCTAAATCTTTTAAGTTGTTGCGTTCTAAATTAATAATATGTACATATCCAATGAATTTTTTTAAGACATATACATATGGACCAATGCTATTGCTTCGGTCGAATCCATAGCTTCTACCCTCTGCCCCTCTAGCATGATATTGGTAGAAACTGAAAGCAAGAAATCTTTTCTATTTATAAGTTCCGAATTTAATTGTTGCAATATCCTCGTAGTTATACCTTCATAATGGATTTACACTAATGTTGACTGCTACGCAAACATATACACACGTATCCAATCGTACATATTGTCAATGGAATATATTTCCCCCAAAATATGGAATTAACTAAATTATTAAAATGGTCTTATTGTTCATAATACCTTCGTGGCTTCTGTTGCTGTCACTGTTCTATTGTCTTTTTTCATCTTCTTGAGCTGAGAATCTATCGGAAACAGCCTCTCTATCCCATAGGGATGGGGTAAGTATACACACTACACTCTTTGGACCCTACTTGTAGGATTATACTAGGTTGTTGTTGTTGTTGTTGTGGTTCATTAATAACTAATTAGATATGATCTCTCTCTCACGCACATATGCACCCGTGAGAATTGAGATATCAAACTATATAGGAGTACTACTGTCCTAGTTTTGGACTTCGGAAGAACCTTAGCCACAAGGGAAGAACATGTCATTTTTACTATTATACCCGTGCTCGTGATGCTGTGTCATTTTATTCATCATAACATTAGCTGTAATCTACTTCCCATTTGCTCGGAGATTAGGAAGAGAGAAATGGAGATCAAGGTACAAATTTTTAATCAGGGGTGGAGTGGTTGACTGGGTTGTTTAATGTTATTTTTAAGGCCAAGAGGATGCCGGATGAGTGGAGGTGGAGTACGGTGGTTCCATTGTATAAGAACAAAGGTGATATCCAGAGTTGTAATAATTGTAGGGGTATCAAATTACTGAGTCATACCATGAAAGTATGGGAGAGGGTGGTTGAAGCGAGGGTGAGGATGACAATTTCTGTATCCGACAATCAGTTCGGGTTCATGCCGGGCCGTTCCACCACAGAAGCTATACACCTTGTTAGGAGGTTGGTGGAACTGTACAGAGAGAGAAAGAAGGATCTGCACATGGTGTTTATTGACCTAGAGAAAGCGTATGACAAGGTTCCTAGAGAAGTTCTCTGGAGATGCTTGGAGGCAAAAGGTGTGTCGGTTCCTTATATTATGGCAATTAAGGACATGGATGATGGGGCTAAGACTCGGGTTAGGACAGTAGGAGGTGACTCTGAGCATTTTCCGGTTGAAATGGGGTTACACCAAGGCTCTGCGCTCCGTCCATTCTTATTTGCCCTGGTGATGGATGCGATAACAAACCATATTCAAGGGGAGGTGCCATGGTGCATGCTATTCGCCGATGACATAGTTCTGATTGATGAGTCACGAGTCGGTGTTAACGAGAGGTTGGAAGTTTGGAGACAGACTCTTGAGTCTAAGGGTTTCAAGCTAAGCAGAACGAAGACAGAATACCTCGAGTGTAAGTTCAGCGCTGAGCCGGGGGAAGTGGGCGTCGATGTGAGGCTTGAGTCACAGGTTATCCCAAGTAGAGGCAGCTTCAAGTACCTTGGTTCGGTTATCCACGGGGGAGGGGAGATCGACGAGGATGTCACACACCGTATTGGGGTAGGATGGATGAAGTGGAGGTTAGCATCTGGAGTCTTGTGTGACAAGAGAGTGCCAACGATACTCAAAGGTAAGTTCTACAAAGCAGTGGTTAGACCGGCCATGATGTATGGGGTTGAGTGTTGGCCCGTTAAGAACTCACATATCCAAAAGATGAAAGTAGCAGAAATGAGGATGTTGAGGTGGATGTGCGGCACACTAGGATGGATAAGATTAGGAATGATGATATTCGGGAGAAGGTGCACGTGGCTCCCATTGATGACAAGACGCAGGAAGCGAGGCTCTGATGGTGCGGCATGTACAAAGGAGAAGCCCAGATGCTCTAGTAAGGAGGTGTGAGCGGCTGGTTGTGGAAGGCACGAGAAGAGGTAGAGGACGGCCTAAGAAGTATTGGGGAGAGGTGATCAGACAGGATATGGCGAGACTTCAGATTTCCGAGGACATGACACTTGATAGGAAGTTGTGGAGGTCGAGTATTACGGTTGTAGGCTAGGAGGTAGTTGAGTCTTGCGTTACTTTGTACCTTTGTGAGCCGAGTCCGGTAGGATTTTGTCTAAGAGATCTAGGGGCAATGTCAAGTCTTACTATTTTCTTTTTCGACGTTGGATCCATTTACTAGCCACCGTTTTTGCCTTGCATTTTTCTTCTGCATTTTATGTTCCTATTGTTCCTATGATCTCCGTGATGAATCTAATATCCTCTCCTTTTGTCTTCTTTTTATTATCTTGAGCCGAGGGTCTTTCGGAAACAACCTCTCTACTCCTTTGGGGTAGGGCTAAGGTCTGCGTACACACTAGCCTCCCCCAGACCCCACTTGTGAGATTTTACTGAATTGTTGTTGTTGTTATCCTGCAATTTCGTAATATTACAATTTTAAAGAGAGGTAAGTTCTCTTTAGATTACCTGCTTGAAGACGGACCTTTGTTATGTTTTTACTTTTGTAGGAAGATTAACATAAAATATGCGTTTGATGGAAAGCTATATCAGACTATATTAGGACGTTATTGTTGAGAAGATGAACTAACAGAAATTTTTTCCTAACCACACCAACCTAAGCCTAATTCTCCTTCCAATCTTCCCCATTCCATATCTATATAAACTTGTTCAATGTAAATCCTAAGGCATAATCTTTCAAAGCATAAAATACTATAGTCTTCAAGCATTTATCGCATGCAACAATGGCTTATCACGACAACCAATCTATTTTCTTGGTATTACTTGTCACTTTGTCTTTAACAAGCTGCAACATATTTCAAGCAGAAGCGCGCCATCTTCTTGAAGTAACTTTGCCTGAGCTTCCTAAACCTGAATTGCCTGAAATCCCAACTTTGCCTAAGCTTGAATTCCCTGAAATTCCAAAACCTGAGCTGCCAACTCTGCCACAACCTGAATTGCCTGAATTCCCAAAGCCTGAGCTGCCTACTCTGCCAATACCTGAATTTCCCCCGATGCCAAAACTCGAGCTTCCTACAATTCCTAAACCTGAAATCCCAACTTTGTCAAAGACAGCAATGACTCAGAAGCCTTGAGTCAAGTATCCTCTTTGCTAGCTAGTGATTGAAGCAGCGCTGGTGATCAATGTTATAGTACTTCCCATGTGTCATCTGTTTTTCTTTTCTTGTGTGCTGGAATTGTTTGCAGCTTCCCTTTGGAAGGATTATCTATATATATATGTGATATTTCTATCATCAGTCGTTTGTGTTTCTACTGGCATTAAATACAGTATACGATATTTTTACGCTTTTAACTATTGAATCTTTTAGGTTGCTTTTACTTTGTTTTTCTTCATTAATCTCCTACTTTAGTTATTTCTTCCTTCTTCTTTTGGTGACTTAATAGAGTTATCTCGTAGTTCACATGGTAATATAGTACTAGCTAATAGTGGATATTTCATGAGCTGCTGATGTTTAAGAATTTATGGATATTATTTACAGCATAATCATCTTACAATATTATTTACCACATAAAAAATCCTCGCATAACTAAACCATAAATCAAATTAAATGCCCAAGCGTGTATTGTCAAATCTTCATCGAAAATTTACATAATTGAAAACTGATTCTCTTATTAACCATATAAATAATAAACAACAACAGTAGTTTTGAGTGAGCCACGCTAATGACCTGATTGAGTGACACAAATATCCAAAGGCTGCATGTTTGCCAGCCAGCTCCGATTTGCTTATCTAGAATTAAGGTGGCATGTTTCAATTATAATTGATCGAATAATTCTAGAAAAATGATTTTTATTATTACTGCCTCCTATCAATAATGTTATCTAGTTTAGGATGGAGGTTGGCCGATTGATTGACATCCATTAATTAGTAAGCAAAAGGACAAAGCTAGAAATTTGATCATCACAATTCAAATGGTTGAATTTTGCATATGTTTCTACTTATTTTACTAGAATAATAAGTAATTTAGTTGTAGGAGAAGTCTTTTTTAAATTTTAAATTTAGTTAGATAAGTTTAGTTGAGATGTTTAGACATCAAAATTTTACTCTGCAGATTTTCTGTTTTCAAATTGGTTATTTAGAACCCTCTATGGTTAATAAAAAAAGAGAGATAATTTTCAATCAATACTTTAAATCTTCTTGTTGCTCCTTCTCTTTTAATAAATCTAAAAGTGGTATCAGAGCTTCACCAGTCTTATGAAATCTATGATGAGTTCAAGAACAAATTTCAACCATTTTTAAGCCATTTTTAACTCGTCCCTACTCTTAAACCAAACTCATTTTTAATTCATATCCATTTTTAAATTTTTTTCAATTATAGCAAGCAATAGTCTCTCCTTGAATGCCCATAATTTTTCACTGGCGAAAAGTACTATATTTGGCCAGTAATATGAAATCATATCTTGAAGCCTATCGTTTATGAAATATTATAATGGAAGAAAGATCCTTAAAATTAGTTCTTACAAATCTTATCATTCCCCAAATTAAAAATCATATAAAAGAAACTTAAGACAAGACAAAGCTGATGAGATTGCTTTTTATGCACAAAATCAAATAGAAAAAGAAAATAAAGAATGAACCATGTTGCAAAAGAATGCTAGTTCAGAAACACTCAAAAGGATGCACAAGCACAAATTGTAAAAGCAGAAATTAAGGAGGATCAACTTTTTTAGATTGCAGCAACAGAAGCAAGGAGTAGTCTTGAATTTTGCATCTGTTACTGCTTATTTACTAAAACTAGCTTCCACGTTCGTGGGACACAGGAAGATCATTTGTAAAATATTGTAAAACACGCACCAAAAGTAATAAACTTTGAATTACATAGATATTCTAAAACTACAATGATAATTTGCTTCTGTCTGAAAATAAAATAAAAGGTTTTCTTTAGTTTTCACTTTCTCCCACACATGAATCTGTCATACCTTAGCTTTTTATAAAAGAAGAAGAAGAAGAAAGAGAGAAAGCAATACATGAACATCCAATAGTCGGAGTCCAACACCAATAGCCAACAACAGTTTATAACAACATAATGGAAGTAATAAAAGAAGTAACTCAGAGATAGAATGCTCAACTCATTCACAGTTCTAGAAAAATAAGTTTTCTTTTCAAGTATATCAGTGAAAATCCAAATCTTTTACCGAAATCGCCAAAAATATGAGTAAGTTTAAAAACTGTAATTTTTCCCAAAGCCTTCAACATGTAAATGTTTTATTTTAAATGGCATAAGGAAAATACATTTCTATTACTATATGTCAATATGTGTGAGAAGTCATAAATGTCGTGATACCGTACAGCATGAGGAAATGCATCTCTATGCCTATATGCCAAGTGTGCATATCAAATGCAATGTATCTCAGAGATGAACTCATGTACTCACACTCTGAGAGTAGTCAATCTCACTGTCTCACACTTTCCACTTATCATGCTCAACCACTCGACATGCTCAGTCACTCAGTACTGTATATGGCCAATCCAGCCCAGGGAAGATCCATCCCGAATATATACATAGCAATAGTCAGTCACTCAGTACTGTATAAGGCCGTGAAGCCCGGGGAAGATCTATCCCCAAATATAAATGCTTCGGGCAAGATCCACGCCCAGAGAAGATCCATCCCTCAATATAAATCGACCGCGCTCACTGGGGGGTGTGTACAGACTCCGGAGGGGCTCCTTCAGCCCAAGCGCTATAATCCGCACGAATAACTCACGTGCTGCACGGACAACTCACGTGCTATAGTATCAATATCAGGATCCACACGGATAACTCAAGTGCCGCACGGACAACTCACGTGCTATAGTATCAATAAAATCACAATTAGGCCCTCGACCTCACTCAGTCATCAAACTCTCCAGTCTTTCGGGCTCACAATGTCATGAAACTAGCCCAACAATGATGATATGATGTACTAATAAATAGCAACCGAGACTGAGATATGATATGAATTGAATGAACATGACTTAGTATGAAATTATAATTTAAAAATATAATTCAACAGCAATATGACCTCAGCGGGTCCCAACAGAATAAACATGAAGCCTAAACATGGTTTCTAACATGGATCACAGCTCAATAGCTCCAGTACGTAGAGATTCATGGTTACACATAATATTAGGTAACTACACAGTACCACAGGGATAACGGAGCTACAATTCACATGGTGCACGCCCACACGCCCGTCACCTAGCATGTACGTCACCTCAACACCAAACACATAACACGTAAATTCGGGGTTTCATACCCTCAGCTCCAAGTTTAGAAAAGTTACTTACCTTAACTAGCCAAATCCAATACCGAGCGGCCAAACGATGCTCCATAAATGCCATCACGCGCGTACCGACCTCCGAACGGCTTGAAACTAGCCAAAACAACTCAAATACATCAAATAATGTCAAAGGAAACAAACCCATCGATAAATGTTGAATCTTAAATAAAAAGCCCAAAATTATCCAAAAAGTCAAACCCAGGCCCGCACCTCGGAACCCGACAAAACTCACAAAATCCGACAACCCATTCAATTACGAGTCCAACCGTACTAGTTTCACTCAAATTCGACTCCGATTCGATGTTCAAAACTCAAAAATTTACTTTATGAAACTTTAGGCTAAAACCCCCAATTTCTCTTTAAAATTCATCAACCAATTACAAAAAATGAAGATAGATTCATGAAATAAAATCAAAACCAAGTGTAGAACACTTACCCCAATCCTCGTGATGAATATTGCTTCAAAAGTCGCCTCAATCCGAGTCCCACATCTCAAAATATGATAAAAGAACCAAAACCTCGAATTAAATAGAGTCTGCCCAGCGAATTCCGCATTTGCGATCAAATCGTCGCATCTGCGACCCCCACTGCGGTAAACATTTCGCTTTTGCGACGAACCCCTGAACCAGCAACCATCGCTTCTGCGATCTCCTACCCGCTACTGTGATCGCGCTTCTGCGCACAATGAACCGCATCTACAATCGCGCAGGTGCGCCCATGCACCCGCACATGCGATCCTTACGCACAACTTCCTCTTCATGATTCTGCAATGACACTCCCGCTTTTGCGGCTCCGCACCTGCGCCCATGGCTCTGCAGGTGCGGTCACACCAGAACCTCTACCAAACCAGCCTTAGCTAAAATTCCCAAAATGCTCCGAACCTCGTTCGAAACTCACCCGAGCCCCTCGGGACCCCGTCCGAATATACTAACAAGTCCAATAACATAACACGAACCTACTCGAGGCCTCAAATCATACATAACAACATCGCGATGAATCACACCTCAAATCGAACTTAATGAACTTTGACTTTTCAACTTCCATAACTCGTGCTGAAACATAGCAAACCAACCCGGAATGAACCCAAATTTTGAAAAAAGTCAAAAATGACATAACGAAGCTATTCCAATTCCCAGAACCACAATTCGAATATGATATCATCAAAGTCAACTCCCGGTCAAACTTATGAACTTTCCAAAACTTCAAATTTCCAACTTTCGCCAATTTGTGCCAAAACCTTCTAGAAACATCCAAGTACAAATTCGGGCATACGCCCGAGTCCAAAATCACCATTCGGTCCTAACGGAACCGTCAAAACTCCAATCCGAGGTCAAATTCTAAAAGTCAAACTTGGTCAACTCTTCCAACTTAAAGCTTCAACAATGAAATTCATTCTTCCAAATCGATTCCGAATAACCTGAAAACCAAAGCCGACGATTCACATAAGTCATAATGCACCATACGGAGCTACTCATGCTCTCAAACTATCGAGAAAAGTGCAAATGCTCAAAATGACCGGTCAGGTCTTTACATTCTCCCCCACTTGAACATACGTTCGTCCTCGAACGTGCCAAGAGTTGTTCCCAACGCCATCAAACCACCGTATGACCTTACCATGCACATACCCGTGGGTGATTCCATGTCACCCTATTCCATATAGACCCAAAAATACAACATAACTGAAGACCATTACTTCAACCTCAGCCCCTAAACCACAGAATCCAATTTCCAACACCTGGAATTTCCTACAAGACCTGACTCTCTCTTCCACACACTGTATAAGTCTGAACAAGCTGTATCCAGCCATAACCATAACCCAAGATACAATCACATGCTACACCAAAGGACTCGCATACTCGTAGCAAAATTTTCGATCACAGCAACTACTCAAAATAACCCAATGCCGGTAATAAACCTTATATCAAACAAAACCTTGTTCTAAAACCTTTGTACACTGCCGATGATGAAAGAAACACGCAGAAACTCCTAACCACTCACCAGATCAACAAGCCATGGAGCTCCCTCTCCTTCG